GAGGAGCTGGGACTGGAGTGAGTTTTGGGGCTGGAGCCGACACTGGAGCGAGCTCTGGGGCTGGAGCCGACACTGGGCAGAACTGAGGATCAGGAGCCCTCCCTGGGCTTAACGGGGAATCGGGAGCCCTCCCTGGGCTGAACTGGGGAATCGGGAGCCCTCCCTGGGCTGAACGGGGAATCGGGAGCCCTCCGTGGGCTATACTCGGGAACCGGAGACCTCCCTGGGCTGAACGGGGAAACAGGAGTCCTCCATGGGCTAAACGGGGAAACAGGAGCACTCCCTGGGCTAAACGGGGAAACAGGAGCCCTCCCTGGGCTAAACGGGGAATCAGGAGCCCTCCCTGGGCTATACGGGGAAACAGGAGCCCTCCCTGGGCTTAACTGGGGATCAGGGTAGCGCTTACGTGGTGCTGGCACTGGAGGGTGCTCTGGAGGAGCAGGCACAGCAAAGCGCTTTCGAGGAGCTGGCACTGGAGTGAGTTTTGGGGCTGGAGCCGACACTGGAGCGAGCTCTGGGGCTGGAGCCGACACTGGAGCGAGCTCTGGGGCTGGAGCCGACACTGGAGCGAGCTCTGGGGCTGGAACCGACACTGGAGCCTCATGAACGCATGACAGGCTTGCCATATTATCGCCCGGCGGGCTTGCCACATTAACGTCCATTGGGCTTGCCATATGAACTGCCGGCTGACTTGGGTGAGCTGCGGACGGCGGCGGGCTGGATCTGGCTCGGGACCGGACACTCCCCAGACACCGGAAGACACCTTCCCTCCAACTTAGCCCAGTAGTGTCTGGGAGGTCCACGGGGCGATGGTAGTGGGTGCCGAGCCAGAACAGCTGATTAAGGACGGCGTCCTCTAAAGCCGTCACCTCGGCGAGCTTGCAGAACTCGCTGGCGTACTCGTAGAAGGGGAGATCTTGGCGGGATATGGCGAGGAAACGAGCAGCGATCTCCATGCCGCTGGGGGGGAAAAACCAGGAAACAAAAAACGGGGGAAAAAGAAAAACGAGGAGAAGGGGCGCTGCTTACTTTCTGTATTGGTCCGCTGTTCTGTCACAATACACTAGAGAGGAACGAGGAGACGCTGGAGAATACTTTAACAATACTTTTAATTCCATGAACCAAGGGAGACGAACTCAGGATGACGTTTAACAGCGGACAGAGAACTAGGGACTGGGAACACTTCAAATACACAGAACAGGAAGATGGGATGACAAGACACACCTGGGATCAATGGAAATTAAACATGGGAAACACCTGGGAAGAAATCAACGAAACACCTGGGGAGCAAGACACAGACAAAACATGGAACAGAGTCTGACAATAATGTCAGTCTCCCATGCAAAAACAACTGCGTCACCATTCTCCTCGCTCTTCTTCCTCGTCGCTGCGCGTTCTGGATTCAGCCCACTTCTACCTGTCTGAAACCTGATTGGACGATCTCAGTCTGTCTCTCAAAAAGGGAGAGTGTCCTCATTGGCTAAATATGAGACATCATCGTATCAATATATATTATTTAAGTGCAACAACAGAAACATTTTACATTAAATGTGTTTGAAAATAAAATAAACAAACAATGAAACATCTTATTATATACATGTTTCTAAATCTTGAGTATGTTACAACTGTATTATGTCAATTACTGTACAGTGAAAAAAAATACTGTAAATAAATTGAGCATCCTCTGCACCTTCAGCCAAATTTCATTACAGTATACAAAGTCCTATATAGCAGTTTCTTTGTCTTCTGGCATTTTTTTTTCTCTATCATCCCTAAGACAGTCATCACTCAATTCTGCAAAATTAAAAGCCTAAAAGGAGATGCTGTTTCATGTAAATTTTATGAAGAAAGCCATTGCTACACTTCAACTATTCACTTCAGTAATAGGATTCTAGGTGTTGATATAATCTAATCTCTCTTTTATACTTAAAATCACATCATCTCCCCCTCTGTTGTTTGGTACAGTCCTATGAGATAAAAGAGAGTCGTGACAGTGGTGGTCCGCATAGACTTCTGACAGCAGCAGAGAAGCGTTCACGGTTCAGGGTAAGTGTCTGTAATCTCTTTTCTTATGTAACATTAATTTATATTCATGCCTGCTTGTGAACTACAGTAATGTGCAAAAATTTTAATAATGGTAGATTTTTCATCACAAAAAAAAAAAAAGAAAGAAAATGATTTAGGACTACAGTTTGTTAAGGACTTTGACTCGGACCCAACACTGTCACTAGAATGTTGATACGTTTTATCGCTGATATGTTTGTGACTAATTTACCTATATTGTGAACTGAATGTCCAAACATAACAAAACTTGGTAGTACACATGTACAACAAGAGAAAACATGCAGACTTTCAGAAATTTCCGGTGCTCAGGGCACTAGTCAGCCCTTTATATCAATGGGAATGAGAGATAAAGGCCTTAATACTATAATAATAATAATAATAATAACAATAATGATACATTTATTTTATATAGCACCTTTGTCAACACTCAAGGCCACTTTACAATGCAATAATATGACAACAAGCCATACAATAGGGTCACATGCATATAAGATAACACATAGTACATTATATTTAACAAAAGTAATGAAAAGAAAACCCAAACATAAACACCCCGCTCCACATCAATCCTTTGGTACTGGCAAGCGGAATTAAATAGCGGTGAAGAGCAGTGCGCCAGTTCTTTTACTAGAACGGACCCCATATCGGTAGCTCTGAAACCTCTGCCACTGCTGCCACTTCGTCAACACAGCCCACATCACGATAACAGAAACTTAAACTCAAAAGAAAACAATATTAACAAAGGTGTCCAGTACAACATAAACTAGAATGTGTGCACTCCAACTAGTTAATGATGTACCAAAATTTAAGAAAGTATTTGAATGACAAACAAACCAAGTCTGATTCATTATGTATAATGTAATCTCAGATAAGTTTGTAAATCCTTACGTGAACTGCAACAAAGGAGACACTAAACAATATATAAGAAAAAGATAAATGTTGGTGTATGTGGGTGTGTGAAAACACATTACCACTCAGAGATGTGTTCTGTAAAATATGCTTCGCTTCAGAAGGCCTTTATTAACCCACCGGAGCCATGTTGAGTATGTTTATGATGGATGGATGGATGCACTTTTTTGAGCTTCAGACTCATGGCAGCCATTCACTGCCATTATAAAGCCTGGAAGAGCCAGAATGTTTATTGATATAACTCCCGATTGTGTTTGTTTGAAATAAAAAAGTAATATACACAAAGGATGGCTTGAGGGTGAGTAAATCATGGGGTCATTTTCATTTTTTAATTATCCCATTAATGGGTCAAGTGTTCATGAAAACAAATTCATTTTTAGCCTTTTCTTGAAAATGGGCAGAGTTAGGCAGTTTATTACAACAGCAACAAACCATCAAAGTAAAGGTCTGTGAAAGTGAATTTGTACCTCTTCAAAGTGATGAGGCCTGTGACGTGCGCTCTCTTCAGCTCGTTAAAGACCACTCGCAGTGCCACATGCTGGATTAGTTGCAGAGGCTTAGTAGTACATGCTGGAAGGTCTGCCAAGAGAGCAGTACAATAGTCCAGTCTGAAGAGAACAAGAGCTTGGACAAGGAGTTCTGTAGTATGCCCCGTAAGGAAGGGTCTGATCTTCCTAATGTTGTACAGGGCAAATCTGCAGGATCGGGCCAGTGCAATGTGGTCAGTGAAGTTTATGCGTGTCAACTGTAACACCAATGTTGGGCTGGCCGAAAACATGAGCAGTTCTGTCTTGGCAAGGTTGAGTTGATGGTCATTCAACCTACAGCAAGACATTTCTGTCCAGGAGGCAGAGATGCGAGCAGCAACCGTCGGAACATCCAGCTGGAATGAAAGGGAGAGATGTGTGTCATTAGAATAGCAGTAATATGAAAAGCCATGTTTCTGAATGACAGACCCATTGTCATGATTGTCTAAGCACTGAGCCCTGAGGCACACCAGTAGCAAGATGTTGCGACTTAGAAACCTCATCCTCCAAGACACCCTGAAGGACCTACCTGAGAGTTAAGACTTGAACCACTGGATTGCAGTTCCTGAGACACGCTGTGTCAAGAGGGTTTACAGGAAAATCAGGTGGATAACTGTGCCAAAAGCTGCAGACAGATCCAGCAAAATGAGTACAGATGACTTAGAAGCTGCTCTTGCCAGTCACAGAGCTTTAATAACCAAGAGTAGGACAGTCTCAGTTCAGTGGCTGCTTTTAAAACCAGACTATAGTTATTGTCCAGGGGGTTGTTCTGTGTGAGAAAGCAGAGGTTGAACATGACTCATTCATTTTTATTAAATGAATACAATTTTCTGATGAAGTGTTTTATTGATACAATGTTTGTTTACATATGAAGAAATAGCATACTTAAAGGAGATTTTTTTTTTAACTCTAGGCCCAAATTACATGTTTTCATGATCCCAGTTAACCCAAAAATGAATGTAAACATTTAAATATTTTCACTATGAATAACGATACCTTGACTTCGATACTGGTTCCTGAATTTTTCAAACTCTTAAACCCCTTGATGACTCACCACAGCCAATCACCAGCACTTGATTTGGGCACATCAAGCATTCTGCATGCTTACTGTTTCACTGATGTTGAAGTATTAAATTTGGTATCGAACAACAAGACATTTTTTTGATACTCAATGGTTTCGAGGCAATTCGGTCAGTGCCTAAAAAGCATCGGATACCCAGCCCTACCCAAAGGTGAAAATTCTATTATGTTTTACTTACCCTCATGCCTTCCAATATGTTTTTCTCTCTTCTGCAGATCACTTTTGGAGTTGTTTTTTGTTTTTTTTAGAAAGTTGTCCAAGATCTGTTGAGGCATAAAATGCATCTGAGTGGGTATACCAACATTTTGATTATCCAAAAATTTAATGTAGAAAGCATAAAGGTAATCCATATGGTTCCAGTTAATGAAACAAAGTACTAGTTTAACTATTAACTTTTGCTTCTGCTTAAAATGACAATGATTGTTGTTACAATACAATGTAGATTTCTTTAAAAGTGCTTCCCCTCATACAATAAAATTCACAGACATCTTTTCATGCAGCTGTTTTACATTGATTTTGGTTTTAAATGGTCCTTGGTTTATTTATTTCCCCTTACCACATAGGAACTGAAAATTATACACAAAGAAGAACCATTTAAGAAAGAAAGAAAGAAAGAAAGAAAGAAAGAAAGAAAGAAAAAGCTGCATGAAAAGAAAATACAGCATTTGTTGTATTATCGTATGGCATTAGAACACTTGTCTATGCTGATTACAGATTTAAATAATATTAATAATAATAATAACAAAAGTTGACTTGTTCCACACCTGAATTGCCATGCTTATCTGCTGTAGATCTCCACAGTCTTTCCACACGGCTTGAAACCAAAAAACAAAGAAAGAAAGAAAGAAAGAAAGAAAGAAAGAAAAAGCTGCATGAAAAGAAAATACAGCATTTGTTGTATTATCGTATGGCATTAGAACACTTGTCTATGCTGATTACAGATTTAAATAATATTAATAATAATAATAATAATAACAAAAGTTGACTTGTTCCACACCTGAATTGCCATGCTTATCTGCTGTAGATCTCCACAGTCTTTCCACACGGCCTGAAACCAAAAAAACGCTTTTTAATACTTTGTATTACATCCACACATTACAGCCTATGTTCCACTGAGACAATGATCTGGAAGCTGAGCAGGAAAGGTTAACAGTGATGTTTTGGTCCGACATATGATTTTAGCTAAATTTATATAAAGTAAATTTATTAGGGATGTGCATCTCATGACTGAGGCCGATACGATACGCATCTCGATGCATAGCCAACGATACGATACATTAAAGATACATATGAAGCAGCTACCGATGCGATACTATAAGAAACACACATTAACTCATTTGAGCTTAGTAAATAGTACTTTTTTTTAGGTTTAAACTTCTACAAAAGCCACATTTAATGTCCAACAACCAATATTTTAGCCAAATGTATATTTTACTCAGAATTATTTGCGCTCCTATTCGATTGCGCTGTTTAGCACGCATGCGCGCAGCTGCGCTCGTTCACTCGCGTAAGCCTCGCCCACTCCTGACAGCAAAATGGATATATTTGCATGACTTTCTAACATTTACAGATGAAAAATATACCTGTGACATGTCAGTTATGCACTGAGGAAAACACAACGTCTCAAATGCATTAAACAGCACGAATATATTCGCTGTTTGCTATGGTGGATCGATTTGATCCATGATCTACATTACGGGCTGCTTAACAAAGGTGTCCAGTACAACATAAACTAGAATGTGTGCACTCCAACTAGTTAAATGATGTACCCAAATGTAAGAAAACTTTTGAATGACAAATAAACCAAGTCTGAATCATTATGTTTAATGTAATCTCAGATAAGTTTGTCAAGCATTATGTGAACTGCAACAAAAGAAACACTAAACAATACAGTATATATATAAAAGATGTGTGGCCACATCTTGGGCCATCACACTCATTCAAGTAATTTTTTTCACAATTTCAACAAAACCTCATCTATGGTAGGTAGGCAAGATTACATTTGTGATAACAATTTTCAGTGTATCACAGAAATCCAAATGATTTGCATGGCATAATTGAATGACAACTCAATATGTGACTATAGTCTACTATTTCTCCCTCTTTTCTGTCCTGGCTTTAGTATGGATTCAGTGGGAGTGAATGTTATTGAAAGTGCAGCTCTGGGGAGACCCTTCCAGCTGGGGATGCTGTATGACTGCAGAAAAGATGCACTAATACCAGGTACCAGAAATTATGTTCTGATTTTCTGTTGCATTTATCACATTGATTTTGACTTAAAACTACAGTATGTAGTCTGTGTAGTCACTCATCCTGCCCACATATGTGGTTGTGACTAATAACAGACATATGACATAATGGCTGACTATTTATTTATTTATGTATGTATTTATTTATTTGTTTACTTGTTTGTTTGTTTTTCAATTCTTAAGGTTAAACCTGTATTTTTTTTATTTCAGGAATCACACTATGGGATAACGAGCAGCTGCAGCAGAATGTACGTGTTCATCCTCAAATTAATACATATTTCAATGTTACAGCTTCAGACTCCATTGAAGAAAAATCTCACCTACTGAACATTGACGGTTGTCTAAAATTGATTTTTTTAGGTGGGCTCGTCGGGTGTAAGTGGAGCAGCCAAATATCTCAGTGATACCAAGAAGTCCTTCAAACAACAGAGACTGACTCTACATTATCATTCAACCACCAAGTTTGAAGCACTAGCCATGAATCACTTGGCTTCTCGAAATATAGCTCACTCTGAAGTGTTTGATAATGATACAGCCACACATGTGGTGACGGCTGTGCTGTATGGGGCGGATGCTTGTTTTGTTTTTGATAGAGAAGTTTCATCAGATGAAGACAAGAGCACTGTAGAAGGAGAAGTAAAAGCTGCCTTTGAGAAACTAAAGGGCATTTCAGCAAGCGCAGAAATTTATTTGAGCAAGAAGGATGATCAGAAGACTGCTGTTCAAAAATTCAGTTGCACGTTTTATGGTGACTTCCAGCTACCATCTAATCCAGCCTCTTTTGAAGATGCTTTGAGGGTTTTTGCTGATCTTCCAAAACTACTGGGAGACAACAAAGAACTTGCAGTTCCATTGAGAGTTTGGCTTTTTCCCTTGGACAAACTACATTCATCTGCTGCAAAACTTCAAAAAGAAATCCACACAGGTCTAATAAAAAATGTTGAATCGGTAATCGAGAGCTTAAACATCACTGAAATGAAATGCAGTGACCTTCTGAAGGATACACCATCTTTGGCTTTTGCAGGATTTCATAATAAAATAATGCTCATTAAGCAAAATTGCTGTGCCTATAAGTTGAGTCTCATGAAGAAACTTGGCTCTCTGTTGCCAAAAATCCGTGGGGACGTGGAAAAGAAAACAGCCCTGATTGATCTTCTTCATGATCATGATGAATGTCCATTCAGAGGAAGTGATCTTGAGCAATGGATGAAAGAGAAAGAGACAGACTCAATCACAATTAAATCATTACTTAGACAACTGAATGATTCTGGAGCAAAGGTGGAAGAAATTCTAGATGACATTTTGATGGATCTGGATGTTGAAAATGTGGTTAGCTACACTTTCCCATCATTTGAGAGGCCAGATGCGCTCCTTTCCAAGCAAAAGGCCCTCCTGAGTCCTTCAGCAAAAGACCACAATGATGGGAATGCACCTGACCCTGAACAAAATACAGTTTTTTCCCCAGACATCAAAATGACTATGAGGCGAAACTTGACAATCTTTAAAAATCTGATCACATTTACATTTACATTTAGTCATTTAGCAGACGCTTTTATCCAAAGCGACTTACAATTGGTGGATACATAAAGCGATTCTTCTTAAAGAGGCAAACAGACACAAGAAGTGGTTGTAATACCAAGTTCTTAGACATTGTTCAAATAAGTACAAGCTAGAAAGAGAAGGAATAAATAAAAA